GTCACTGAAGGCCCAACTGCACATGACAGAACCTGGCTTCTTGGTACACCTTTGGCATCCCAACATAGGTTTCAGTTTCAGGATGAGTCGAGGCACTGAAGTTGTTTTGAGTACAAACTAAAAAGAGGTCCAGGCATTAAGACATTGTTGGCAACAAAAGCTTTCCATCCTGTAAATCAGTTCTGTGAATACAGAGAAGTTGTCAAAGCCCTCTTTTCTGATTATCTACCCTGTCAGTGAAACGAATGCATCAGCAAGCACTATACTGGAGAGGACATCTCAATTTGTGCAATACCTTTCAAAGCCCCTTCCTTCTTGGTTCCCACATAAGATTGTTCGGTTTGTAAATCAGATTTGATGCCATTGCTGAAGGGCGTCTTGCCCTCCTTAGGTCATGTGTGAGGTTGAACAGAGAGTTAAGTATTCACCATTCTGATATTCCACAGGCTGAGCAGTTCCAAGTCAGACTTTCTTTTATCTCATACCCAATCAATCAAAACCAAACCAAACCAAACCGACCAAGCTAAGCTTCCCATGACTGAACTGGCTTTGAAACCAAGCTCTGGCTTCAAAATCATATGGTCCACAACAGTGCTTGAGCTGCACCCAACAACAGCTTGAACACAGTGGTACCTGTGCTAGTAAACTCAGGACTGAACGACAACAGCACACTCTGTGTGGCTGCCCTGAAGCCTGGGCTGAAAGCTGGAGCTAATAGAGAATGCAGTAACTCAGCTGTCGTCAGAAGAGCTGTCCCCTTTCACCATGTAATTCTGTTTTAGAGGGAGTAGCACTGGCTGCCTATTCACCGTCAAGTTAGATTTACATTTGCATTGCTAGTGCATAAATCCTAGTAGTTACACAAGGACCTACTGCCTGGTTGGAATCCACCTGGAATATGGCATTTGTATGGTGGCTTTCTCTCTGTAGAACTTCCTGCCTCTGAATGCCAGGCAGATACTAACATCATTTTTCTCTTGCAAACATTTTTATTTCAACAAGTCTTCCCCAGTTGACCAGCTATGTTTTTTAATAGTAAACTTATTTCTTAGTTTTTATTAGTTCTTTTAGTAAGTATTGCACTTATTCCTTTTATCTTTTATTGTTCAGTATTCTGGATTTTGTGTAGATGTGAAATGGTAAATAAATAAAAATGCATGTCAGTCTCATGATACTATAGGTTGTTGTTGCTTCAAGTATTTGTCGTGTGAAAGTGACTAGTAGAATCCGATTTTATTTCTAACAGAAGCTCATCCTGAGGCTATTTTAATGGGCATTATTTGCCAACCAATAGCTATGTTCTGCTCATTAGATTTACAGTAGTCAAAAACTGATCAGGGCAAGCTTATTTGAAATGACAGGGTAAGCTGCATGGAGAGGAAGCAAGTCCTATTGGATCTATACTGCTGTTAGGCTAGTTAAGAAGAGATTTTGAAGAGACAAATAGTAACATGAGATAATTATTTTGTTGCTTTTGTGTAAATTAATCTTTGGAATTGCATATAGGATTACTGTTCCTGCATACTTCAGTTCACACAGAGATGAATGTGCAGTAGGTCAGCAGTCTAAATATCCAGACTGGTATTAAAATTACTGAATAATAGTTAAATGAAATTGCACTGCTCTTTTATTTAGTATTTGTGTGGACTGAGACTAAGCAAGTACCATTTTACTTTTTCAATTTCCTAGGGTATTTTTTTCCTTTCCAGTTATAGAAACCATTCATGAAATGCCTTGTTGTTCTGCTTCTGAGTAATTCTGAATGAGAATCAGTGTTCTCATCCCAGAGTAGGAAAGTGGTGTTGTCTGTGGCTCAGAACATGTGATTCAACTGGTACATTGGCACTCATTTTGTGTGTGTGGAGAGTTTTTATGGGTATTAAACAAGGAAAAGATTCTGAAATAGATTTCCCAGAACAGTCAAGGGAGTAAAGCATTTCCATTAGCCTTCATTTGAGGGCCATTTGACCATTATTTTTGGAAGGTATACTACTGAAACATATTATGTACTTAGTACAACTGAAACACTAGATAGGGAATTGTTTGCAAGATGTAGCATTGGAGTAACACAGAGAATGATTATGAAGTAACCTTCAGGCACAACAACATCAGGTGGTGCAGTATTGTTGAACTTGTCTCTTACTTCAGTAGCACACCTCTGTACTGGATCACCTGCTGCCGCCCCTGTTTATAAAAGCCAGCAAGAAAGGAACTGGCTGGGCCAGGGATGTGATTAATGCCTCCTTGCAAAAGGGAGTGGTTCCATACTGGCTTGAAGAGTCAGTGGTGAAGCCGCTCCCTTGACCTAGAAGATCTGAATAACTTTAGACCTGTAGCAAACATCCCTTTCCTGGGCAAAATTCTAGAAGTGGCAGTTGCCAATCAACTTCAGGCACTCTTGGATGAGGCTGATTATCTGGATTCATTTTAGTCAGGGTTCAGGCCTGGTTTTGGCACAAAAACAGTCTTGGCCATCTTGTATGGTGATCTATGCTTGGAGAGAGATGGGAAGTGTGACCCTGTTGATACTGCTGGACCTCTCGGCAGCATTCAGTACCATGGCCATGGCTCCTTCCAGGGCAACTGTCTGAGTTGGGAGTAGGGGACTGTGCATTACAGTGGTTTCACTCCTACTTGGAGGACTGTCCCCAGAAGTTGGTGCTTCGGGATTACTGTTCAGACCTATGGATTCTCCAGCATGGAGTTCCCTAGGGGTCTGTTCAGTCCCCCATGCTTTTCAACATCTTCATGAAACTGCTGAATGGAGTCATCCAGAGTTTTGGAGTGTGTTGCCATCAGTATGCTAATGACACATAGCTCTATTTCTCCTTTTCATCATCAGCAGGTGAGGCTCTGGATATATTAAACCAGTGCCTGGCTATGTCAACAGACTGGATGAAGGCCAACAAACTGAAACTAAATCCAGGCAAGACTGGCATGCTGTTCGTGGGTGGTTCTTTTCACTGGATTGGAGGTGTTCTAGACGGGGATGCATTCTTGAGGGTGCTCTTTTATCCATCCTTGTCAGTTGAAGCTTGGGTGGCATTGGTGGCCTTGAAGTGCCTTCTGTAAGCTTCAGTTGGTGGCTCAGCTATTCCCCTATCTGAACAGGGATAGTCTGACTTCAGTAGTCTATGCTCTGGTAAGCTCTAAACTGGATTATTATAATGCACTCTACGTGGACCTACCTTTGAAGACAGTTCAGAAGCTGCAGCTGTTGCAGAATGCAGCAGCCAGATGAATAACTGGGATCTGCAGAATTAAATATATGACCAATTAGGCCTGGTAGCATTGGCTGCCTGTATGCTTCTGGTCCTAGTTCAAGGTGCTGCTTTTTATCTATAAAGCCTTAAATGGATTAGGACCACAATACCTATCACATTGCCTTTCCTAACCATGATCTACCCAGACACAACACTCAGCCTCTGGGACCTTCCTGAGTGCCAACTCCGTGGGAAGTACAGTGGGTGGCAATAAGGGGAAGGAGTTTCTAGGTGATGCCCCCCTCCCCATCTCTGAAATAACCTTCCCACTGCAGCCCAACTGGCACCTTTCCTTAGACCCAAGGAAAGGTTCAGAGTGCTTAGATCCGACTACTCTGCCAGCTCTCCCCAGCTGCTGCCAGTCTTGAGTGACTTAGATAACTCTAGATGGGATCTCCTCTCCTACAAAAGCATATTATAGCTTGTTTCTCAGATTGCAAGACTGGTTAGTCAAATAATTTACTACCTTCCATAGTAGTGAAATGATAAGGATAAAATGTAGGGCTATATTCTCAGGCAAAAAAGAGCTAATCTATTCATCTGTCTCAGAAGCATAAATTGTTTCAATCTTTACTCTGTTTAACTGGTTCACTTCTTGAACATACATTGAGGAAATGCCTATCTTTAAAATGCTAGAATGTGAGAGGTACTTGCTCATATTTGTATCATAATACTACTCTAGAGTAATTCATGACAGATGATCCCATCTGCTTTACTATACTGTATTTTTATACTGATCCTTAGGTTTGCATTCATTATCATTATACCAGTGTTGGCAACAATGACAAAGGAAGCAGCTGTAAAACCAGCAACTGCCTAACCTTGATGAATTCATCAGTCATCATAAACAAACACTGCAGGTCACAGGGGTTTGTGTGCACTTTGAAAGGATTCCTTATGTGTTGATCTTGGAGATCTTTCATTGGCTGTAATTAAAATAACGCAGCGCTCTGCATTTTGAAGCTGGACTTCCTTTTCCTGCAAATGCTTTCCTGTTTGGAAAAGTGAGGATGTAAATTGCTAGCTGCAGTTAATGATGGTGGATATCATGGTGAGGCAAAAGGATGCATCTCATTTTATAGTCTGCTTTGTGGCTTGCAGTAGGCTATTGATTTCAGTACCACATAGCATATTAAGTTTGACCAGCATATGTCCCTATACATTGTGGTCTGTCAAAACTATGCCTAGCCACTCTGAAGATTGTACTGTGAGTAGTGAATCCCAGCAAGTAATTCTCTTGGCTCTTAACTAAACCAGTTTCAGGTTATACCTGATGGATGGCTCAAGCAGTTAGATGAAACTATTAGGCACTAGCAGATAGTACAAATGGATATGGAATCATGGCTTGTAAAGAGAGGCTATAGTGTAGAAGGCTGGCAAGTGACTTGTCATAACACTTTATTTATTTTTATGCCTTCCAGTAGCCGAGGCTTTCTTTTTGCTGTTTGGTCATTTCTGTTGGCTCTTTTGCCTTCAGTCCTGTTCAGTCAATCCTCACAGAAGGATCAACGCTTCCTTAAACCCCATACAATGGGTTTCCTCCATTGCTTGAGAAAACTTTTGCACGATATATTATTGTTTCTCCATGTGTGTCCAGACAGTAGTTGCGCTAGATCCGTTTGTCCAGTCTTTCATGGCTCCTCTCCATAAGATGAATTCTTCTGAATTAGTCCTGAATTCTCCTCTTCATTTTTTCTAGTAGCTAACTTTATAAAATACTTGATCGTATTATTTCAGGCCCAGCACAGAGATACTTTCATTGAAGAACGTTATGGAAAATACAACATTAGTGATCCCCTGATGGCTCTTCAGAGGGATTATGAAGCACTAAAGGAAGAAAATTATGGTGATAAACAACCTGTGTGTGCCAATCCCTTGTCCATCCTGAAGGTAGTGATGAAACATTGCAAAAATATGCAAGAGAAAATGTTGTCCCAGTTAGCAGCTGCAGAAAGCAGGCACAGAAAGGTGGGTTGCAAGTCCTTTGGACTTTGATCAGACCATTACGATGCTCTTTTTTAGAATCTGATGTCACAGAACAGAATATTTTGTATTAAATATTGTTTTATTTATTATATGTATGTAAATGTGTTAAAGTAGAAAGGGAGATGGGGCAGCATGACCCATCCTGTGTGCTTGGCTGGGACCAAGAACTGTTTGGCTGCTCTTCAGAATTGTTTCCCTGAGTGCTTTTCCACTTATCATGAAAGATTTATGTAGCTTGGGGAATAGTTTTTTCTGATGTGCCCTCCCCCTTCCTTTTTCCTTTAGTATCATGTCTGACAGAGTGTAGGGATGTAGCATTTCAAATTCAAGAACAGGCAGTAGTGGTGTTTTGTTTTGCTTTGCTTTATTAGAAAATGCTTATTTATTAGAATATTTGCCTTTTCAGCCATCTTTCTGAGGCCAGCCATGATGATTTACAAAATGTTCAGGGAAAAAACCCAGAGACAGGGAACTCATGGTCCTTTAAATGGTGTTGACCTGAAACTGCAACTCATGATCCCCATCATTGGCTGGGCTGGCTAAGGCTAATGGGAATTGCAATTCAATATGATTTGAAGGGCCACTTGTTCTCCACCACTGCCAAGTTATGTATTTGAAGAAAAATGTTGAAAATGATGGACAACATCCTGAAGAGCTTCAACCTTCAAAGCCTCTATTTCTGCTCATTAGGTCTTCTTGAGCTTAAAATCATGTAGGCCAGAATAAGGTTTTCAAAAGCAGACTCTAAAAACCAAGTCTGTATAGCAGACTCTAAAAACCAAGAGCTCCTGTGCATTTTCCTGTTTTTTATGCTTATTTAAAAATCTCTTCTTCTTCATGAGACTAATAGGAATACATTCAGAATATTACTGGTTAATGTGGGAAGCATGGGGGAGATTTTAATATCTTCATGTTGCACAGAATCCTTCATGTAAAGGTCAGAGTTTCTTAATATCTGTATTCAGATATTCTGCTTGAAATCTTACTTTGGGGCACAGAAGGTTAAAGAACTTGTAGTTTTTACTGTTAGAAATGACTGCTAGTGTTCTTTTCTGTTTCAAAGGTAATCTTGGATCTTGAAGAAGAAAGGCAGCGGCACGCCCAAGATACAGCCGAAGGAGATGATGTCACGTACATGCTGGAAAAGGAGCGAGAGAGGCTTACACAACAAGTAAGCCTTCCCACTAGTTAGTCACCTTTCACAGAGTAATGATTAATTACTGTTTAACACAGAAAGCATATCTTCTATGGGTGGAGAAGTTGGTGGCTTGTGTCAGTATCTGTAGGCTGAGACTTTATTCTCTGCCTGAAAGTGGAGAACTCAATTTCCTCAACTGAGATTTTTGATCAGTTACCAGTCTACAGATTCAGTCCAGGGTGGCAATAGAATTTGAGCTTTGTATAAATACGGCAAGTGGCTTAAACTGAGAGATGTTACTTCCTCTATATTGTTAAATTAAAATTATGAAACTTAATGAATATACCATGCAGTGTGTAATTCAGTGCAGGACAAAATGTGTTGCCTTGTGTGTGCATACTGTGAGAAGTTAGGGTCAATCATATACCCTTTTGCCCATGAATTTTTTATTTATGTAATTCCCACACATTATTGGTTACATTATACTGTATGTACTCAGTATGTTATGTATACAGTATGTACTGTATCTATGTACTCAGTAATCCTGCCTGTATTAAAATACATATTCTGATAGTGCATATTATTCATAAATTCTGGATTGGATGGGTGAGCATTCCATTCATTAATCCTTACATTCACACTCTCATTAAGCAACTGATCCCATGGACCCTAGACAGTATTGAGAGCGCCATAGGATTTTTTGGTTTCCCAGGCTCCATGCTCAGATTCTCCTGTCCCTCCCAGCCCACAACCATCATGAAAAGAATAATGTCAGCTGCTTCTTTGCAGTTGTAAGAGTGGCCTCAGAAAAAGGATCAAAAAGTGCAGTTGGGATGGGGTGGTGGGGGAGAGACTGGGTCGACCTGGATATGATGCTTCTTGGTGGCATTCCAATCTCCTTCCTTCCCCATCCAGAAGTTCTGCAGCTAGATAGCTTTAGTTAGCTGTCTAGCTTGATTGCAGACTGAAATGAGTAGGGAAGTGAAAATGGCCTCCCATACCACCCTGAATAGGATGCCCATAATCTTGCAAAGTCACAGGATTAATTTTCTGTAATGCTCTGATTTTCAACATGTTTGTGTTTTTGGAGAGAATCTTAAACTATTTGATTTCTTTTTTCTAAGCTTTTCTGTTTTCTCTTCTAGCTGGAATTTGAAAAGTCTCAGGTGAAGAAGTTTGAGAGAGAGCAGAAAAAACTAGCTAGTCAGTTGGAGGAAGAACGTACACACCACAAGCAGCTTTCTTCCATGCTTGTATTAGAGTGCAAGAAAGCCACAGCCAAAGCTGCAGAGGAAGGACAGAAGCTTGGAGAACTAAGCATGAAACTAGAGAAGGAAAAAAGCAAAGTGAGCCAGCTGGAAGAAGAGCTAGCAGCCAAGAAGAAGAGGGGCTTGCAGATGGAGGCACAAGTAGAGAAGCAGCTATCTGAGTTTGACATTGAACGAGAGCAGCTGAGAGCTAAACTGAACCGTGAAGAGAATCGCACCAAGGTTCTGAAAGAAGAAGTTGAAAATCTGAAGAAAACTCTAGAAGAATTAGAGGCTTCCTACAAAGCTGGCAACAACAAAGTTGAAAACATACTACCAAATGTTTCAATGGTGTCCATAGCAACTTTCACAGAAAGCCCCTCAGGAAGGTCAGTAGCTTGCCAGACGGGAAGTTCCTTGACAGAGAGTCCCAGCCAGGGAAGTACTGTCAGATTGGCACACGTGTTATCACCCATCTCTGCTGCAGCTGCCCATCCTTATGCCAAGACAAATGGGCACTGTGATGCTGATGTACAAACAAGCGTGGAGTCACCTCAGCTCAGTGTGGATAATCTGCAGAAGGGCAAGCCAACTGGATCACCTGCTGAGTTGGCTGCAGAGCAGGTCAGCTCCCCAGTAAGAACAGAGTCCCTTTCTCCTTCAGTTCCACCACTCCCTTCCAGCGGAATATCCTTATCACCAGGCAACACGGCATCTTCATCTCTGACATCCTCTCCATGCTCCTCCCCAGTCATGACTAAGCGCTTAGTTGGAGCATCAGCCAGCAGCCCCAGCTACCAATCTTCCTACCAAGTGGGAATCAACCAGCGTTTTCATGCCGCTCGTCATAAATTCCAGTCCCAAGCTGATCAAGATCAGTCAAGTGGCCTCCAAAGTCCTCCGTCCAGGGATCTGTCACCAACCCTTGTTGATAATTCTGCTGCAAAGCAACTTGCACGCAATACAGTCACTCAGGTTCTCTCCAGGTTCACCAGTCAACAGGGTCCGATTAAGCCTGTCTCTCCTAACAGTTCACCTTTTGGCACAGACTACCGAAACCTTGCCAATGCCATGAGCCCTAAAAATGAATCTAGCCCAGGCAAAGTCGCTAGCCCATTGAGTCCCCTGTCGCCTGGAATTAAATCACCAACCATACCTAGAGCAGAAAGAGGTAATCCTCCACCAATTCCTCCAAAGAAACCTGGTCTGACTCCTTCAGCTACTCCTACCTTACCAACTAAAACCTCCTCTCAGGCTTCTTCTATAGGTTCTCCTGTGGACTTGGCAAATAGCTGCTCAAGCAATGCTGTTGTGGCCAATGGGAAAGAAATTGAGATTTTATTGCCAACCAGTAGCTAGTCTCTAGGAGGTCACATTCCAAGTGTGTGCCATTCCTTCACCTGAAACCCTGTCTTATCCACTCCATGTTATTTATTTGGGTAGGAACAAAAATCTATGGTATAACACATGTAGTGTACTTTTCTTTTGTCTTATTTTATGTAGAATATAGTGCAGCTTAAACACTAGAGTCTCGAGGTGTCTCATGGCAGCAGGCACATCAAACAAAGAGAGAAGCTGTTGATTTCCCATGCTGGGAGTTGACCAGTGGACTACGGCAATGAAACTTTTATTTTTAAATTATGCAGAAGAACACTCCATGCAAACCTCTATTCCAGACAGACATTTTCTAAGAAGTGCCTGAACTTAAGCCTGCAGATATGAATGTGATTCTCTGCAAAACCAGAAGGGATCATCTAGCTGCAAAAAGCACAGTTTCTCTGAATCATGAATGTTGAAATCAACACTGTTCTTAATCTTTTCCAATATTTTGTTAATAGTATGTTATAAAAGGAAATATTCCAAAGGTGATCGCTAGACCGGTCAGTTGTTTCCTTGCTATGAGCAAAGTCATTTAATGTAGCTGCATGGTCAGGTGCACTTTGGCCCCGTTGCTGAGCTTTATGCAACCCAATCGTTTCCTCTAACAGTAAAGCAAAAAATAAAACCTTTGGGAGCTTTAAAAAAATCAGGGTGCCAGTTTTTTTCCCCAGTCAAGTAACCATTCCTTGCATATTTTTCTCTATAGAGGTAAAATAGGTGAGGTGAAGTCTTGAAGTATTGGGCTTGTTTTTTAAACATTCTTCACGCATTCTACTGTTGTGTGTGGAACTTCTGAGAGCGGGATCTTTGTTGTTACTTGATAAAGTTGGTAATATTACTTGAAACGAGAAATAACTAGTCAGTTCTATACAGGTTTTCATATTGGAAAGATAGGATCAATACCACAGTGATTCAAAGCAATAACTTAAAAGTACTCACTATGTAGTAATACTGTATGTCAGACTGACATAGGTCTTTCTAACCAAGTTCTGTTTGCTCATACAGGATTGTTGCCCTCTTGGCAGCACTGGAAACCAAATCATTAATTTTTCCCATAGAAATGTGTATATATATATTTGTGTGTGCGTGTGTTTGTTGTTTGTTCGTTTGTTTAGAGAGAAAGAGGTGTACATGCTATGCACACAACACATTAGGCAGTGTAATAATATTACTGAGATTCTTTTAAGGAAAATGAAAAAATACAAAGCTACTTTTTTGTCTTTATTTGCTTCTGAAAACCTGCTTTCCTAGAAAAGGTGGCCTAATACAGGACTGAATCAGTTTTCGTTCTGAAGAAATGTATGATGCATGTGTTACAGCTTTTAAACAACAAATCTATTCTCTGTCCCTCTCTACAAAACCACACTTCTGTATTTTAAATGTCTGAAATTGTGCTTAACTTCTTTGCCCTAATGTGGTCAAAGTTAAGAATAAATTTTCTATACTGAGACCTTGAGTGAAAGCATTTAAATACCTCCCCAAAATGAGTCAGCACAAACACACTAAGGTTGGATCCAGCATTTTCTTTCTGCTGGCTAAAGTACTTATCATGGAGAAGAACCATCCCACAGCGTCCCACACACCTTCAAAATATACTGTAGATGATTGGGAAACCCTTCAGAGTTGATTTTTGAAAGGCATGGAGAGCTGCAGGAGAGAGGAGATAACAACCTTATATTATGCTAGGAGACATCTGCTAGCACAATGTTGCATCTAACTCTACAGTGTCATATTTATCCTTGTCTGATGGTCTTCTGCTATTAAGACCATTTGATTCTTCTTCATACTGAGACACTAGACCAAAGCTCTGGATTTTGTATTGGTGCTGCTTTAGGACACCACTGAAGATGGTCTAGCTGTTAGCCTCTTACTTCCTAATTGTTCTTTGTATGAAAATGCTAGACTGAAGTATTTTAGTAAAGTGGCTGTTATTTCTGAGGCTATGCTGTTTTCAAGCACACACTAACTTAAGTCCTTCAGCCTTGACCCTCCTAAATTCTGGTCTCTGTATCTTTATTTCCATTTGATTGGACTAGCCCTTACACTAACAAAACTTGATCATTGTTTATAAACAGGAAATAATTCTGATAGGTATACAGATAGTTCAGTTGGGCAGTACTTGTCTTTCAAAAGGATTGCACAGCTGAAAAATTGAGGATTGGATTCTTGTCAATATCATCTCTAATCTTATAAGGAGAGTAACATAACAGCCCTTTAAGTATTTCCTTGAGTTTACACTAATTTGTATCCTTTCTTTATGATATGACTCTATAGAGATTTATATACAATAATGAATTTTATTAGGAAATGCACTGAGTATTCTACAAAGGATTGTAGGAAAGGAGAATGCAAGAGGAGATGTGTATTTTTGCTAGTAGCCTATCTTCTGAGATTAAACTAAGCACAACTATTAAAATGGTTCCAAGCTAATCCAGTAAGACTTCTAGGGTTAGTATTTAAGTTTTCTATATACATTGGAAACAAAATGTTTAATCTTCTCTGAATCATGTACTGCTAGAGAGGTTTGACACTGGCTAACAGGATTTTAATGAAGTTCAAACTGTATAATGTAGTATTAATTGTTCATTAACAGCTGTATATTTGTAAAGTCAAATGTATGAAGCAGAAGTCTTTATCATTTTTATAGCTGACAGCATTAAACATGGTAAACGTTCATACTATCAATAAAGGGTTTTATTTTTATGATGTGAATATTGTGCAAGCATGTATTTTAAAAGTGTGGCTGCTTGAATGCTTAGTGAGTTTGAAGTACGTATTCACTAGCAGTTTGCAGGTGTTCCATTAACCATATGCCTCTAACAGCTGACAGTATAAGGATGGTGCTTCTAAAGAGAAAAAAGAAAACTGCTAATACTTGGTAACAATGCTGGGAAGTGTTTACCAGTTCTGTTTTAGTTTTAAAAGGCTTAACAGTCGATTAATCATTAGTGCAGAGTATCTATGACAACCATTTCTACATAACATAACATCATGGTAACTCAAACTGCCTTTTGATAGGGATAATTTCTACTGCATGTTCGGACATAATATTGTGTTGCATCATGAAACAGTGAACCAGCTCCTTTCCTGGTTGGTTCTTTTTCCTGGACTTTGGAAATATCTGTATCTTAGGTATTTAAGTATCTAAATTAGGTATCTTCTAGTGTTTATCCAGCATTTTGGTCACTCTCAGATAGGCACTCTATCTAGTTTCATTAATGCAAGTCTGCTGCTCAATTGCCAAGACTTGAGGCGGGGGGGGGGGGAGATAGAGACAGAAAGCTTGACCAGCTCATGCAGATCAGTTGTATCATGTTTTTGCAGCTAACCTGTTTCCCTTGCCCCAGCACAACAGATTTGCCTTATGCAAGGTCCTCACCCCAGTCTGGAATGCTGCAAAGCATTCTTTACAACATCAAAATCCTGCTAGGTTTCCACCCACGGGTTTCTAATATGGTGTATTCAAATAAGTGAAAAGTATTCATCTCAACCATGCCATCCTACTTAACAGTCCGTTTCTAGGGTTGTGATTCCTGCTGACCCAGATCAGTTTTGAAACCAGCACTGAAATTATAGGGAGACAAGCGGAGAGACAGTTAATAACAGAGCTCCTATTCATTTCTCTTCCACCCCTAGTTGCCTATTGCTAAGGAAAGGGTTAAGCGAGTCCCCTGCAGAACATAGGAAGTATGTGTCAGTGGTAATAACTCAAGCGGCAAGAAGGTGGGCGCACAACCTTAGCTAAAGGTTTCTCCTTCCCAGTGAAATAAGCAATGGCTCAGTCCATCTGAGCCATATCAGGTAATTATTTTGTTACACAATGCAGAGTCTGAGACTTTGAAATAAAATTTTATTGGCAGAAGTTAAAAGCAGATGTCTGACAAGGAAATAAAGTCTAAGCAAAGTCTTAACTTTAGACTTCTTGCATGCTCTTCCCTTCTTTAACAAGCCTAGTCTTTTTAGATCCTGCCTCTCCAGCGTTGTTTCTCCAGTTTTGTTTAACTGCCTGAATGTATTAACAAGGAGTTTCTTCATTCCCTCTTTTTTACATATACTTTGTGTTCAGAGTGAGGCTACTCAGATCATTCCTCTGTGCCTAACGGTGGTAACTTTCCACTGCCCAGTGTGCGAAATTAGTTCTCTTGTGCCACCTTGTGTTGGAAAATATGCATGCTTCCATGTCTTGATAATCTGCGGCTGTTTAAAAAAGAGGAGCAAGAATCACTTCTAATGTTGTAGACACTGGTTCTTAAATGTTCTTTCTCCATATTGGTTTCCCCACTTTTAACTCAGGAGAGTTTCCACCTACGGGTACGTGCCTTTTCCTGGAAAGCTGCTATTGTGGAACATCACTGCACATTTAATTTCTCCTGGTACTGATAGCGGGAATCCCAGGAAGATGACAAAGGGAAATGGTTGGGCAAAACTATTCAATGTAAGTCATTGCAGAGATCTGCCTCTTTGCAAACTAAACTGTGGTTAGGGGTTAACAAGAAGGGCTTTTTCCCAAGATTAGACATGCTTATATCAGAAGGTGAGAAGGTTGTAATCCAGAATTGGATGAATTGTCTAAACTGGGATCAAAAAGCTGTCTGGTAGAACAAAGCATAGGTATATGTCGTTATTTCATAGAGCAGCTTTCTGACTACTCATACATCGCAATAAACCATAGTGGTAAGGCCAGATTAAAATTAGATTTACCATGACATCTGAACCTGTCTTGGATGATTGAACATAAGTTTCCCTCCCCAGCAACAAATCACCCATTCCTTGTAGTAGGGGTTCTTGTTATGACATCTTGTTCCTAGTGGCTATAGAGCAGCTTGGCAAGAGCAGCAAAAAAGCCGGTGCTATTCTTTCTAATCTACCATTGCTCCTTCTGCCTTCCTTTCCTGTGACTACCTCAGTACTTTTATAATCTGTATGTATACAAATGGGCTGTATTGTTACTTTCCTGTTCTTTTACTAATGTGCAGATTCAACTTTCCAATAAGTGAAGTCTCACCTTGTTCACTTAAATGTTTCTGCTGTCAGAGGAAGCTCTGGACTTGAGTAGGTAACATCCAAGAAAACTGGCAAGGCAAGATTGAAAATAGGGTAATTGTACACTGTAGTAGGAAAAAATGGAGATAAGTAGAAACTCAGTTACACAATTCAGAAAAGTGCTTGAAGTAAGTGCACTAAAAGAGTGTGGAGGAAAAGAGACAATATTTCTACCTGGTAGTGTAATCCTCTTACTATTAAATTTTGGACCTACACTTTCCACTGTCCTCCCCACATTCAACATTTTTCCAGGTCTCCAGCAAGTCCAGAAACTAGTTACTGCTTCACACTAATTTATGATTCCTTAGGGCACTTCATGCTGCAGTTCCTGTGCTTCAGTGTGTTTGCACAAATCTTCCCAACAGTCTAGAAGGTAACCACATGAAACCAATAGATGGGATCCCATGAGGTTGGGGTATAATTATTGCTTGATTACTGCAGCAGCCTTGAACTTGGAAGAGCTGAATGGAACTGTCATAGACAGGACATTTTGGAGAGCTTTCATTCATAGGGTAGCCATAAGTCAGAGATGGCTTGGCAGCACGTAACAACATAATTATTCCTAGTGTGGATACTTATTTGCTCCATCCCATTCAATTACTCTCTGAAGTTTTCTTCCTTTAAAAAAGAAAATCTGTCAGCAAGGAACATTTGTACAAGCATTAATGCTGGGGAAACAATGGAGAGGAAACTTGCACGAATTTAGAATCTGGGAAACGGAGAAAAACTGTGTGACTGCAGTACCTTTTTCAAGAAGGAACTGCAAAAACTGGGGAGACTGTATCTCCCATTTCTGGGCCTGTTACAGACTCAGTGAAGTCTGGAAAGGGAATGATACCAGCAGGTGTAAGTTGAGTTGCCCAATAGCAGAATACATTGCCAAGTGAGATGCGGTGCCTCACCCTTTCTCAAACACTTCATGCACGTTTTTCTTCAGTGCTTTGGAACTGAAGAAAATGGTTCATACTTTGTTTAGTATTACAAACCCCTCTCCATCCTTCTCTGTGCCAATTAGTTAATACAAGCATCTTCTTGTCAATTTCCTTGAATGTTACTCACTGCACTATAGATCACCCTTTGATGGCTGAAACATGCAAGGCATACAAGATAAGGCAAGTCTACACACATTGGACAGCCAAATCTGTGCTTGCAGAACACTGGGGAGGGGATACGTTCCTATTTACAAATTCCCAATTTTCTGTTGTTTTGTTTTTTGGTTAAGGTGGCAAGCAGCATGGATGCTCCAGGAAGGGATAGTGATTGGACTGTGGATAGGCTGAAGAACTGAAAAGAACTGAGAGGAAAGTGGTCACACCAAGCCACCTGGCATCCAACTGTCAGAGGTAATGGGTTGGCATGCAAACAAGCAACCTCCAAGGCAGCTGTGTGAATGTGAATCACACAGCTGGATGTGAACCAGATCTCAGCCTCTGTGATGTGGCAGTCCATCACATTTAAACATATCCCCTTTTTTTCCCAGGATACCTTTGGGGGGGGGGGGGCGGACATGAGTGTTGCCTCTTACAAGCCAACCCATTTCAAAACCACAAAGGCTATTCAAAGGATATGAAACATGAGAACACTGCAGCACTGCATGGGTGTGGATTATTTTTCAAGACATCAAGAGTAGGGATGAGCCTGCTTCACTTGAAATGGGGCAAACATTGAGCATCATGGAATACTTTAAAAAGAAGCCAGATAAAAAGAAGATGCAGCAGGAGGAAGAGGAGAGATCCGCTGTGTAGCAGTCTGAGAAGGTGCCATGACCGTGCTTGCAAACAAGCGGAGCTGTTACTGCTTTAAATGCTACAGATACATGCTCCAGGGTATGCAGCTATAACCTGCTTTTCTTGCCATTACCTTTCTGGCCAAGCTGATTGCTTGAAGCAAAGGTTTTCTGTATTAATACTCCCAGTCCAAGATACCAACCACAGGTTTTTTTGAGAGCAAGAAGGTAAACCGAATATATGCCATTAGTGGCTGCTGTCTCCAAACACCTAGTTAAGATGCTGAAAGTAGACTATGTGTAGGCATACAAGCATTGGAAGATTTTCAACATGGGGGAGCTCTCTTCAGAATGCCTTTGGGTATTACAGGGTAAAGGGCGTTCATATTCTCAGCCAAAGATTTGACTGCCACTCAGGCCACTGAGTGGAAGCTACTTAACTGGAATGAAGATTGTCTTGCTTCCTTGGAGGTAACAGGTTGCCCTTTACCTCAGTGCAAAGAAGCACTAGGTTTGACAAGGGCCAGCAAGGAAAGTCCATGTCCCAACCCTTTCTGCCTTCACTGAAAGTGGGCCAGTAGAATCTTCATAAGATGGATAATAAAACTGACTAGCAATTTTTCAGACAAAAGATGCTGGAGGACAACAGTAGCAACTTCCTGGCTGTTCCTGGCAGTTGGAGCTCTATCGGGCCTGTGCTGGGCCCCCTAAACTAGCTTGCAAGCTTAGGCATGATGGTGGAATCTATCACACTGTATGGGCTGAAGTAAGGTTCAGCTGCCATTCCTATCAGCTTTTGTACATGAACTATGGGGCAGGGGTGCCATCTTGTCCTTCAGCTTAGGAAGCAAACTGTCTTGGGACAGCTGTACACCTTCTCTCCATTCATGATTCTGGGAGGGAGGTGAGGCAGAAGAATGAAAAGTGGAAGATCATTAGCATA